CAATTTTAGAGCAATCTCAACGTCGTCCTGTTCAACCAAAGCTCGGCATGAGGTGGCTTTTTCATTTCTCAAAGACGAAGTCCCTATAGACTTCGCCACAAAAATAGACATCACTTATGACGCGAATATGAATGGATCAAACACGAATAAGAAAGTAATGGAACAAAGAATGGAAACAACATTGGAAAAAAGAAGAAGAACTAAAGAAGTTCGCATTCTTCGGCGGCTTGCTGTCTCGCCTGCTCCAAGCGCGCATCTTTGCGCTTGGAGCAGGCTTGCCAAAGTATTTGGCAAAGGTCATGCAAAGTATTTGAAGAGCTGCAACTAGGCGAGGATAAGGGGATTTAGGAAGATTCAAAAACTAAATTGTAGGGTTTTTGATGTGGAACAAAGCTGTGTTGAATTGTGAAAAAATGTAAAGAAGGGAAAACTATGATTTTTCTTTTCACAACCACCTCAGGTGGCTGTCCAGGTGGCTGGAAATCCAACTAACTCCGAAAAAAGTTTGCTACGCCTCCAGTTTACATAACTTTTTCATAATTTTTCGTACATAGTCCTAACTCCCTATTTATTCCCTATCTACACACTAGTTTTGGTGTAATTTCATATTCTCTTCGCTGTAAACGAGGCTTTTGTTTATTTTGGGGCAAATTTTTGAAATCGCGCTCTTAACCGGCGAACCTGTTAAAACAGAAATTTTTTGGTTTTGCAGGAATGGGATCGATAAGGAAGGAATGACAATCTGCGTCCTCTATAAAAGATGAAAGGTGATAAAAGGGAGAAAGTGATTGAGGGGAAGGATTGGGAGGTTTCCGTAAACGATACCCCCTCGCATTTTACATTGAAACGATATCCAGCTTTCCAGGTAAGCCACTTATGCCGAGCCCTGTGTTCGACGAACCCTGACTTCCCAAAGTTCGACAAAAGGAGTGGTAATCCGCAGGCGAGAAATTTGGGAAGGTAGATGGGCAAGATCTCGACACGCAGCTGCTGTAGTTCCTCATGGGTACTTTCGCCACATGAGAAACTGTGTTATCTTATACCAGCCGCTCTCTGCCGCTACGCGGCAGGTTCGGCTGGTACACGGCAGCTTTGCTTCCTTGTATATCTTTCGTTCCACTCTGTGTGCAAGTGTGAGCATTTGCTAGTGAACTTGTTAATTTGCACGAAAGGCTTCGGCTCTTAACCTAATATGTAGGAGGATAATAGAGGACGCACATTGGCCTCTCAGTCAAATTTGTGTTTATATTCCAAGCAACACCATGCACAGTCAACAACACGGAAGGGCTGGATGTGTCCCGTAACATGTGTAAGGTCTGTGTCCATGTCACAGACATATTCACTTTTTCATGTTCATTCACCTTACATGTGTCCCATGTCCCATGTAAGGTGAATGACGTTATCACGGTGTTGGAAGTGAAAGCATTCAAAGGAAGTACAATACGTGAGAAAAAAGTCATGGTAGGAAGAATAGATGGGGGGGGGGGGATATAAGGGTGTTGACTGTCATTGAATCTATATGGTTTATGGTCTTGCTTGATCCTTTGGGTGAGTGAAATTTCTGTTTTTGAAAAACTTAAAGGCAGTGGTTCGGCAAATCTCAACCTAATCAAATTTGCGCTTACCTGGGGTTTTTCAATACCCCAAAAATCCACTTCTGAAAATTTTGCCGGTCCACTGTTTTCAAGGGTATCTCGCTGAGAAAGGGATTGGTGCGTAATCAAATATCAATCAGTTGCCGAGAATGCTAGACGAGAAAAATAATGAATAAATAGAGAAAGTCAATAACTGAAGCAATAGATATTGTATTCGTAACAACCATGCCTACCTATTCTTTCCTTGCGCCCAATTTTGAGCCCCAAGAGCGTAAATTAAGGCTGCGTCCAGGCAAGTCTGGACACGTGGGGATCTAACGTGGATAGTAGTTTTCGGGCCCTAACTAAGCCACTGCTCAACCGGCAGTTCAGGTAGTGCTCTGACGGCTGAGATATTCCCCTCGAAACTGGATCCCAGGATCGCATTTTGCATGGGTTCATGGCGCAACGCGTGGGTCCTTGCGCGAAACTGCAGTCCATGCAGAAACAATCCTGGGGTTCAGTTTGGAGGCCTACATCTCAGCCGTTAGTGAGTCCCCTGTGCTGCCGCTTGGGCAGTGCCTTAGTTAGGAGCCCAAAATTACTATCCACGTAAAATCCCCAAGGTCCAGGTCTTCCTGGACCGTGCCTTTAGAAAAAATTAGTAAATTGATTTAGCCTATATCATTGAAAATAGCTTACTAACAAAAGAGCCGTTCAGAAGTTTATGCATGCGAAGTTTGATTCAAATCTCATAATTTTTTCTAGCATTCTGGGTCAGTCATAACAAATGGCTAAGCAAAAAACGCCGAAAGTCAATAAATCAAAAACAACAGCAGATTGTTTTTTATATAAGCTTAGTGACACCCGTCCGCCACGAAGTTCATGTTTGCGACGTTCGGTAGACTCATAAATTTCTCAGACATTTTGGGCGGCAAAAATTTTTGAAAAAAAACTGCAAAAAACCAATAAATCGATGGAAGCAATCGGTATGTTTCAAACAAAATAACTTATGAACACACGCCCTCGCATCATTAAAATGCGTATGAAATGTGCTATATCCCTCTTGTTTATCTATCTGGTAATACTGGATTAAAGTTACTAATAAGACATTTTCCTCTGAAACCGAATCTCAATAAAAACGACAGAACACATGCGTCTTTAGACTGAGTTAATTCTTCCATTACTCAGGGCGGAAAAAATCTTATAGACAAAATTTGAAAAAATCATTAAATCAATGGGGGCAATCCGTGTGTCCCGAACAAAAGGCGTATACATACGCTCCTCTCCATACGTTAGGTCTGCCATATTTGGTCCAGATTCCTTGGCTCCTTCTATCCTTTCTGGGCGAACATACAAAATTTTCTAAGCAAAAAAACCGCCGAAAAATCAATAAATCAGCATAGGCATTTTGTGTGTCTCGAACAAAAAGGCTTATTAACACACGCCCCATCCCATACATTAGTCTGCCAAGTTTGTTTCAGATTCCATAACTTGTTCTATCCTATTTGGGCGAACATCCAAAAATTTCTAAGCAGAGACTGCAAAAAATCGATAAATCAGAATGGGCATTTCGTGTGTCTCGAACAAAAAGGCTTATTAACACACACCCCACCCCATACATTATATCTGCCAAATTTGGTTTAGATTCCATGACTCCCTCTGTCCTTTTTTGGCGAACATACAATAAGTGGCCAAGCCAAATATTATATAGTACTGATATTGATATAAAGCCGAATGTCTGTTTGTCTGTTCGTCGCAGATATAGAAGACAGATTCAAAGTCAGCTTTTTATATTGCATCCAATGGTGAATGACTCGCTTGGATTGACTCATTTCAAGGTGAGGATCAGAGCACTAGCCTAGTCTGCCTGACCAAGTAAGTATTCCCTTCTATTCATAGCAACTCGAGAATTCTCTCTTGTTGAATAAAATGAGGCTTAAAACGTATTATTCTTATCTCCGTCGAAAAGATTTTTTGGGTTCACTTTAACTATACAAGTAAGGAGTAAAAATCATCAAACGATGAAAGATCACAATGGAATTGGAATGCGTGATGTTTAAACAGGTTAAACTGCGAAGGGCTCTTCTCATTCCGTTATGTCCGGCAAAGGGACGCCTCGACAGGCTAGGCACCCAATAAACTTCACAGAGTATTTGGAGAAATCGTCTGCATTTGACCCGAAAACAAGGTTTAGAAACAACCATAACAACCAAAATATGCCAATCAAGTTGAAGCAAAAGTGATGCGCATTTTTCTAGACTTTGTTTCAATACAACTTTTTTCCATCAAACTTTTTTCTTTGGAAAAACTTACCGAATATTCAGGAGCTCTTCTCATGCTCTATCCAATGATGGTTAAGGTGGGCTTCCAGCCTTATCTATTAAGGAGTTATGGAGCTTCGAATAACCGCATTCAAATTCAAGATTCTATCATTTATTTTTGTGGCCAGAATCCAAGCGCGAATCAAGGCATGGGTGTAGGATGATTCGCACGACCGTAATGCTTTCCACGCAGGAACCACTGCCGCGCGCGACACACTCTGCGGCGCTTTTTGCCTAAGCAAAGCAGGAGGAGAAAAGACTTGCGACGTGCGCGACGTGTTAAACAAGTCAAAATCAGGGTGACACTGATGACCGCCCGTGCGAAAAGACCGTCTCCCCAAAGCATTCTTCTAAAATCCATATTGTATGTAGTTGAAATTGTCAACATTATGCACACTTTATTATTTTCACAAGGTTAACTAGACCGAGAGCTGTCTCCTTAACATGGGTAGTCCTTTTGGTCATTCTGTGGCCCATTTTGAAGAAGGCAATAGCCAGAGCTATGCTCATTTCTGTAACGTAGGGGTGGACCTCCTATTGACAGTCTTTGCGAAAATGTTCAGCGTACGCGGAAATCAAAAAACTCTATATTTTGGGATACTGAGGCCGAAAAAACGTTGAAAAAAACGGACATTTTTAGGATTCAATATTTACTTTCCGCAAGTCTTCTTTGTTTGAGACTTTTCCAGTATTTTTTGCTAATGACTTGCGACTACAAGATAGGCCACTTATTATTCACACTGACAAGTTCTGAAGGGAGTTATGATCAGTTGAAAACGAGGTATCAAACAAAACGTTTCTGTTATCGATCCATATCCAAGGTTTGGTGCCTCTGGTGGTGTATATTGCATTTGAAAATTGTAGATATTCTAGAAAGTTATAGCACGTCAAAGTGAGACCTCGCTAAACGCGCATCAATTTTACACCGACCTAATACTATCTCATCAAGATAGATGCCTCAATGAAGTTATGATATGAACATTCTGTTTACCATTTTCGAAATGTGCCGTTCCAGTGTCTTCAAGAAAAGCATTCAATAAATCAATATTCATTCTTCATTATAGTGAAATTACTTCCGCGGATCGCCTCCTTCTTAACAGACAACTCATTGGGCTGAACTCGCAGTCGTTCCAGTAGCCAGCATCCCTCTTCGACGTGACCGAATCGAACCATTGCATGTCAGGTACATCACGCATCTGAAAGCGCTTCTCAAGTAGTTGTCTGGTGTTTGCGAGATACTGAAAAGTGAATCAATTCATAGTCCAGCATTCAAAAATCAGATTAACTTAAAGGCAGCATCCCGGCAAAATCTAGCCCTTTGGTTTTTCACCTTACAAAGCCTTCTAGCCATGCTGAACCCATACTTGGGTTAAAGAGCACGAAAATGGCGAAAATTGAAGTTTCTTCAAAGATCTTTATGTTCGCACTCGCTGCAACATGCGTGTAAGTGGGCGGGATTCGCAAGAATTCCAAAGTGGATTTCAGACTTACTAGACGCGGTCTTTCGCTCTAGACTTCACCGACAGATTAGGTGGGGGCCTGCCACTGCAGCACTTCAAAACCGTCGTACCATCAATTTGCCGAGACGCTGCCTTCAAAGCTAAGCGTACACCTTGCATTAATTCTATTACAGCGCGAATTGGCGATTTGTCAGATGTTTGCAAATTCAACATTTGTACACTACAAATGCGTAGTGTGTATAGTAAATGAAGAAGGCAAGGTGATACGAGTACCTTATCAATGGCTTACTAAGGAAGTTGAAGTAACTCTGGAATTGATAAAATGCCCTACATTTTCTGTATTTGAGTTACCTTAACGCTCCTAGAAATATCGTATTCTTAGATCGCGTGGCGACTGGGATCGCATTAGGTATGCGCGGGTAAACATATACGCAGCTAAAAGAGCGCAATTTTTCTAACGTGGAATTCTGAAAAATACGCTCAAGGTCTGAAAAACTAGCGCTTATCTGAATAAGTAAATTAAGCGGAGTGAGAATTTATTGGACAATGCAACATTGATGGTCAAAACCAACTCAAATGAACGAAATGATTTGTTTCCACAGATTACATACATCTTCAGATGTAGAAAAAATAGAACAATATAATTTACGATTAAAGGTCTTTTTGAAGAGTCTATCTATCGAATCTGGCAAGATATAGCAGCAAAAACGTGAAAATTGCAAGCAAAAGAAATTTCTATTCACGGATATTTTATGTAAGCTCAAAACGGATAAACGCGCACAATAGGCATGAAGAAAGATCAAAAATTCGTTATTCACATCAGTAGATACATGGTGGTAGGAAAGCAAGATCATGATATCGTGTGGAAACAGCTTGAGGCTACTGCCTCGCTATACTCGGCCCCCACAATGAGTCATCCAACAAATTTTCCCAGGTGAAATCTCTTTTTGTGGAAAGAAGCATACCTGTAACCTGCCGGATACGGTGACCAATGTAGCACACAGCAGAATAAACCACGGTGCGATCATAACTAAGAGGAAGGCGAGATGTAGAGTGAGGAGAGTGTGCCCGAAGGCCACACCCCTCCTCAACCACATCGCTTTAAGTACCTTCGTCAACTTAATTGCATGAACATTGGGGGTAGCAAGCTGTATGATACAATAATAAGCGAGGGAGAAGACATGTGCTTTAACTTCTCCACGAAAAAGGACAGAATTGACTAGATGAAGAAGAATGACTAGAAGAAAATAAAAAGGATAATTGCATGTGAAAATGACAACATTCTGCACAAAAACCACATGAAAGAGATTACAGCTGATTGGAACTGGGCTTATCCGGGGTACACGTCGCTCACCATACCCTACATTTCTGCGTTGGATTCATCGGTGAACCCTCCTTACAACTAAATGCCTTTGCGAAGTCCACACTGTTTGATAGAGGACCTTTCACCCTGTAAATGACTCGGTTGAAACGTTAAAAGTGACAACAATTGAGTTCAGTGTAAGAACCCTAATTGTTCGTATTCCATAAATATCCATCTCTGATTTCTAGCCCATACCGTATTCCCAGCAGACTAATTAGCGTTTACGAGTACGGTGGAGATCATAGTTGGAGGAGCTGTATTAGACTCCTGGGAAGTGAGTCATGCGACTAAAGCGCCCAAACTCGTTAACAACAGTAACTGAACGAAGGGGGGAGTGCAGAGCGGCGGAGAGCCGTATGGCTCGCGAAATTTTTGAAAGGAGCTTGCATAAGTTATTATGGTTGAAAGAATGTACTCGCTAACTCACTCATGGATAATTAAAATTTCTCTTGAAATTTTGAAAATATAAAAGAGCTTCTGGAAAAAATTTTTTGGAATCCCGCGTGTCATCAGACCTCAAAAAAATTAGGAAGCATGGCAAAAATTCTTTCTAAAGGCGTAGCTAGCAATGCATCTTGATTTGAAAAAAAGTTTTTGTCAACCTCTTCTCCCTCTCGCTCCTCCCCTTCCCCAAATAAAATTTCTTGTACCGTTGCAGAGGGAATTTATGCGATTGATTGTTGTAAAGGGGTGACAATCGTAAGAACTTATCTCCTCTCGATTATCTAAACAACAAACCTTATTGGGCCAGGGGAATGCTCAGACGTCCTCAACTTGCGGACAGCTTCTTTGTCGTTCATCGTTCCACACCATATCTTCAAACAAAACTTTTCTAGGTTTCACGAATGGTAAGTTTTACTCACCTGTGCGTAGTTGAGAAAAAATAGCTGGTCATGTGTAAGATTCACCCCGGGTAGCCGTGGAGGGGTACGATGCGATTGTTGATATTTCTTGAAGGCCCTGCAATGCTATGGTATTCAAATTATATAGCTGTAATTTGGCGGCAATCAGAAATGTTTTTTGGGTGGGGGAAGTCGATTGAATTTTGAAGAGGAGTGACAGTATTGGAGTATGTGAGTTTTCAAAAACTTGAAAAATATGTATATTATGGTGAGCAAAGAGAAACTCGCACAATCAACTTCATGATTTGGCTTTAGAAATTTGCATCCCCCCTCCACCGTTCGGTTCGCCAAGCCGTAGACGTAGAGCTTACTTATAAGCTTGTTTAAGGCCTCCATTATCCGCGATATTTTCTCCTTTGGTACTTCTTCCATTAATCTTCATCGCTATTTGATCCAATACGTACTCTGAGTACTGTTTTTCTATGCATTCAGCCTGAAAATACCCTCTTTGCGTGACAAATTGCATAATTGCTGAATTCTATTTTCCATACCTTTTTTTCGAAATTTGCAATAGTGACGTTATCCCACCACTGTCGAATATTGCCAAGATTGTCATACAAACGACCTTAATTAAGAATATGATAAAGAGGAGAAATTCGTGAACCAAATGCCTGTGAAGTTTGGTAGTCGAATCACCACGCAAATTCCTTATGAGAAAATGATGAGCACACAGATTATTCACCTCTATCATCGAATCCATGCGTAATTTCGTGACCAATCACCACTCCTATTCCACCAAAGTTCATTGGAGATGGAAAATCTTTACTGTAGAATACAGGCTGAAGAATAGCGGCTGGGAATACTGAAAGGCAGATAATATGAGGCATAAATAGTCATTCAGATAGATAGTAGCTGCGTTCAAGCGTTTAGCATTTTCTTTGTGCGTAACCTGGAGAAGTAAAAATTTCGAAAAAATTTTTTACATCTTCAGGATCTACATTATATAGCAGGACACATAATTGCTGGTATGCGATACAAGTGCAAATTGAGTTAAAATAGGAAGAAAATTCCAAATTCACACGTGTACACTCATGGAGTTCAGAGCGTTCCATATTAATTAATAATTTGATTTCGTAATAATTTGATAATTAGTAGCAATTCACTCAGAAAGGTTTCATAGATTTGCACAATGCCAAACTCTGAACTCTTTTCTTTCATGTGCCTTTGTGAACTCCTTTCCATTCTTTTGGCCCTCATAATTTGGCGCATCTATTTTCTGTTCTTACTAAACCAAAAAACACTTCATATTCACGTTAACTAGCGCGAAAAATGGACAGCTTTAGCTCTTTCGCTAAAAAGAATCGGATAATTCTTAGCTTTATGCCTATTTAGCCTTAATTCGTCATCTTCGCAATTTGAGACTAGACTTACTGCTCATTACATTTCGAGGTCTTTGAGCACATGAAAAAACTTTACACCCACGAATGATTCGAATAGAAATTTGAAAAATGTTTTGGAAGAATTAAGGAGTCTGCATGAAAACCGTTGATGCGAAACATCTCCATTAGCATCCAAATGGCTACGTTGTCTCAGATCACGAGAAAAGACCATTGTTCGCAAAACAATATGACAAACCCTGTGAGATTTACCACATAGAGTAATTAACTGTCTCATTCATAAAATGTTTCGAGTCTGTTTCAACATGCAGGGATTACTTGTGAGAGTGTGTGATGAATTCTTGATAAGCATTAGCACAAAAAGGACGAGTGGATTTTTTGGATGAATGAATAGTGACGCATACAAAGCGATGTTTCAGTTGATGGAATGAAATGAAAGAATGTTCCATAAAATTTTTGAACGCGCCCACTAGAAATAGTCACTACGTTGATTGTCTGTTTCATGATAGTTGGAAAAAAATGCTTTTATCAACGATACTCAACGTGAAAGTTGCCTCGAGACCTCCTTAAGAAAGCTGCTGCTCTTTAAAACATCAAAGAACTTCGTGAAACTGCTCCAAAGTTGCGAAAACCGTGTTGACACAGAAAGGAAGCTAAGAGCAGCGATAAAAGTGGCCCATTCGACCCATTGCAGCATCATCAGCTAATTGAAGGGAAAAATCATGCAGGTCAGGAAAAACCTCGTACGTTCTAATGAAGCAAAATGGATTTTTAATTGTAGTGGAGATTATCCGGACAAACACTTGCCATAACGGAGAGCTAACACCAGATTTCAAATGTAAAAAACTAAACGCTGGGCGACCGAGGGAATACGTAAGCAACACATTTACGCTGATAATAAACAACCTCATGGTATTTAGCCGCCTACTGTTTTTTGTTCTTTCTTCAAAATTTTCCTGCATCTCACTTCTGTTTGCTTCAGTTCTAGCTCTACCAAAGTAAGAATTTTCTGCTTTGTAGCTTTGAAATAAGGGCTAAGAAGGAAATACATACATGTAATAAGAGGTAGGAGCATTCTTACTTGAAATGTTAATAATGTTCCAATAAAATGTCACAATGACATGCTGATAATTTTATGCATGGGTATACTGTTTGATTCAACGCATCATTCTACGTTCTTAAATGACAAAAAGTGAAAAAACATCTACGTTTATAGAAGGGAATGCTGTGATAAAAGGGCTTGAAGACTGCAAAACTGCATTGGCCCTATAGAAAGAAAAGCATGAACGTGCACCGGCTAGCGTTGAAGCGTTCGTCACTTTTGGAAAACTATTCCTGAGATTATTCTGTGTCTTTTGCATGATTTTTTCATTTGAAATAGGAAACATGCGTTGTGTAGAAGCATATTCTACCGGAACAGGTAGCAGAAGCCAAAAAAACAAAGAAAAAAATCATCAATATTCCGATTTCTGAAAATAGGCAGCCAAAAGTATGAAATGTTGCAACGAATTTCGAAACAGTTAGCCTTCATTCGTTTATCGACGAAGGTCTTTTGATCTCCTTTTGAAACTCTTTCAAAGCTTGAATCGAACGCTTTAAAGTAAGGTGAATTTTAATGTGCCAAAAGATTCAAAATTAGAAATATGGTGTTGTCTCAGAATTTGTAACGGTCAGTAATACACTATGACCTACTCTTCAAAAAAAACGTTTATAAGTATTTCCCTAATTTGTCCGGAAATTGAGAGCTTTCCAACCGATAATGCAAATGCAGCATGTTGTTTTTTGCGATGATTATTTACATTTGAAAAAGACATTTTGATATACAAGTTTGCTCTGGCTATCATAACTTATAATAACGGGCTAAGGGTTGTTTACGTTTTGTGTGTGTGTGTGTGTGTGTGTGTGTGTGTGTGTGTGTGTGTGTGTGTGTGTGTGTGTGTGTGTGTGTGTGTGTGTGTGTGTGTGTGTGTGTGTGTGTGTGTGTGTGTGTGTGTGTGTGTGTGTGTGTGTGTGTGTGTGTGTGTGTGTGTGTGTGTGTGTGTGTGTGTGTGTGTGTGTGTGTGTGTGTGTGTGTGTGTGTGTGTGTGTGTGTGTGTGTGTGTGTGTGTGTGTGTGTCTGTCTGTCTGTCCGTTACGAAATTCGTAGGGAGAATTCCAGCCAACCTCTTGAGCCCAAATTTTGCACAGCACATCCTAGCAGCAGGAAAGTCCATTGTGCAGAAGCACAGGCGGATCCGATAAGCGGATCCCCTAGAAATTGCGCGCGAAACGGGTCCACTTAACTTCTGACCAGCAAAATTGGGTCCGTATATAAACTTTTTGCAAAGTCGTGGATACGTTTGACAAGCTAGTGTACAAGCCGTGAACTATAGCCCAAAAAATTCAATCAAAGTTGGTTACTTTACGAAAATGGCGCCAACAAGTATCAGTGCGTAAATGTTCAATTTACCACGATTTTACGTGATCATTCGAGAAGATTTTTGCACAGAGATGTAGCCCACGATGATTATTGCCGTTATGGCGACTACCAAGCCATGAGAAGTCCACAAACCTATTCAAATTTGCATTTATTCTTCTGAGAAAAGTTTCATCCTCGTGAAATTACCGATCTCGCACAAAAAGCTCTAGGAATGAGTAGCTGTTTACAAATCATTCGTGATAGCCTGCATAACGCGGTGAGTTTCACTGTCATCATTATGCGGGAGTTAGTAAGGCATACAGAATGTAAGGCCAGTGCGAGCCTCTGCGAAGCAGAGGTGACGCACTGGTATCAAATAAAGCCCTTAAATTTCGAAACATTATTTCTGTTTAGATTGTTCGGAAAACAGCGAACGTTATGTGAATGCTTTCGTGTGCGCTTAGCGCTGGTCATCTTGGTTTCAATCAAGGCATATAAAACAACATTTTTCTTCTAGAAGATGCTAGATTTGTGAGAAATGAGCGGGACCTCAAAGAATTTTGAAGCAATTCATTGCGTGTGCACGACTGAAGAAGGGAAAAAGTAAGTATACAGCTACGATTGCTCTCAAACAATAGACGGCTATATAATTGTGAACTCACTTATTTCATTGGTGTTGGGACTATAGAACGCATTGACCAGCGCAGCTCCAGCGACCCATCTGAAAGCACATCATTGAGTCCGCATAAATGACAAATACCGTAAAATGACTGGAGGCCGTCGAGTTCAGATTTGCAACAGGGCGCATTAGAGAAGGAAGAAGGAGACACGGATTAAGAAAGTAAAGGCAAGATTATGAGGTAACGGGATCTCTCTTCAACATAAAATTGGTGGTTCCAAAAATGTGGTGAAAATTGCATTTTGGCTGAGGAGGGACTACCATTGAAGCTACGCTTTCAACAGAAGATGACAACGCATATTATCTGAAGAGAGAGGATGGGGTGTCCGCACGAAAAGAGACTGAAATTTATTGCAAAAAATACTTCGAACCATTGGGTTACTGCTCTGGTAGATCCTGACGAATTGCCCAGTTTAACATCAGTCGCAAAAAAATCATTGGACCCAGAGTAAAAGCTCACCATTGCTATTTTAAATGTGAATAGAAATCGAAAGTTTCTTTTCTAGGGCCGAATAAAAAGGATTGTACCGTCTAACTGCATACTTACACTTACTAATACTTTTCAGAACAGGGTTATAGCAACAAAATGGTTCAAGCATCTGTGATTTTTCTACAACTTGGATACTGGAGATTACAATGTTAAACCTTCATGAATGGCCATCAGGGCGGCAGTTAAACTCTACGTCTTTGTATTAGCACTGCAAGCTTTCTTCTTGCAGCAAACACTATTTCCGTGTACTAAGGAAACAGTCGCAAACTTGTCCAATTCTCTCATTAATGTTCTTTCTGCTCAGTTCGATACACTCCGAAAGAGTCATCAATTAGTGCATGATATGCGACACTGCAAGCCTGCTCACGCAGGCCTCATAAGTCAAAGTGTTGAGCGTTCGAAGGTGTCAGTATTCACATCAACGGAATTTTCCAGAAGATTATTTTTGTGCACCAGATGGGATACACTTACATGACATGTAGGCATCACAAATAATCGTATGAAGTCCTCAGATGGAAAGATTGAGAGAAAGCAGTTGCACTTCATAAAGTATTTCTTTCATTTCCTTACCTCTCACGGTCCACGGGTTGAGCTATTCGCTCCAAGACATCACGTTGATATTGTTCGTAGAATTGAAACTTCGTCTTATAATAACGATGATCATAAACCTAAATTGGGGAGGTAGATTTACCAAAAAATGAAACTGACTTCGTGTAAGAAGTTTTACCTCAAACAAGCGATACTCGCGATCAACTGCAACTGGGTCATTCAGATAATCTGGATAGCCTATCTTCTGTTTCATAGTGCGAACCTGAATGCTGGATTATAAGTTGACACATTTAGGCTAGTAGTTGTATATACAAAGCGCTATTTCAAAAATATTTCAAAACCTTCTGCTTAGCAAATTCTTTTGTTTCCTCAGTGAGCCAATCCTCCGACACGAGAAGATCAACAAACGCTTCCATAATGAGGCTAATCATTTCCTCGACCTGAAGTGGTTGTTCAGACGTACACTGTCTACTGCATCAACTACAATTCCGTGGGCGTTACTTTCAGACGGACAAGAATTTCGTAAATCTAGACTTCTGCGCTTATCTGATGCAAACATATTAATCCATTTTTTCTAAACCGATCTAAAATCAGTACACGCAATGCATTTGAGCGTGTAGAATAAAATCAATGCCAAATAAAAGCGTATTTCTGAGAACAACTCTAAAAAAATTGTTTGTTTTCAATTCTCGCTCTAAATAAATGTTTTTTTACATTTGGAGTTGTTTGGAATACTGAGATTCGGACACAGTATAATTTTAAAAAGGATTAAAGTAAAAGTTGGTAACATGAGTGCTTATGTTCTGAATTGACACAAACACATTAGCAAAAAATAACAACTGATTCAAAAAGGGAATAAAAGTTCGGAAGATCATGGCCTTCAGCAAGGCGCATTTAGAGGCTGTCAACAGCAGTGAGGTGATCGCACATTTTCTGACATTACTGAACTTCCCATGTATTATCGTATTGAAAACTTGTTTTTCATTTGCGCACAATGGATGATGAAGTAGCTCTGAAATCAGTTAAACTTGGGAAATATAGCACCGACTAAGTTCTTGCATATATTTTTTTACAAATCGCACTCTGATATAATTAGACATCCTTTGTCAATTACCGATTTTTCTAAACTAGTGTTGATCAAGCAGTTTCTTTTCAAAATTCGTCCATTAATGAGCAATAAAAATATTCTTCTTCATCAATAGTAAATGTCAACAGTAGACTTTGTCAACAGTAGACTTTGCTTTGTGCTCCAAAATTCCACCATTTTGATATCTTGAAAAGATTGAGGAAAGCGCGTTCTAATGACAACTTAACATAACCTTGACTGCGACGGTTGTTAAAAGATTATGAGTAAATGGTTTTCCAAGCCTGGTATATCTTTCGTTACGAGTGCCAAAAAACATGAGAATGATGAGAAAGCGATGTTGCTTGCGTAGAGATAGATGGTGGTGTAACTCTGAATAAGAAAGGGGAATATCTTTAAAAAAACCAACTCAGCGCTGGGTAAGAAATTTTACAAGGGGAGGATACTCGGTTGAAGTGACCTTTCCATACAAGATGAAATGCTGATTCCAAATTTCCTTCGGTGTCTGCAAAGCGCTTTTGCGAAAGGAGTTATGAGAATTTGTTAGGGCAGAAAAAAGCGCGCTCACAGTAAAACCATTCAGCGTAATTCATGAGCTCGATTTGGGATGGTGAGTCTTTATGGAATAAATACTTTTAGTCTGACAAATACATGCTTATTACTATCCCTTTCAAGAACCAGTTAGACCTCAGCAACTGTTTTTAACTAAGCCAGACCCTCGAACTTTTACCTCAAAAAATGCTCTTAACTCCTCTCACAGAGACGATTCGCAAATGCCGAAGGTAAATTATTAACGTGCCCTCTCTTGTTAGAAATAATTGCTTACTATTAATAACCACTTCTGACACAAACTTACTTGCTTTTTAGCCTCGTGATCAAAATGATTCTTCACATAGATGGAAGATGTGGCCATTGGCATGAGATTGTTGATTCTGGTTACACAACCATGCCACCGAACCTTTTGCACATTCATTACTGAAACATAGATTTGATTCGAAATACTAGACGTTTCATTCGAAGGACCGTAATTGAAAGTATGGTATCACGATGCCAAACAGCACTATCTTCCTGCCTGTTCTTGAATACTTGGTAAGTAACTTGGTAATAGTAACTGCAATAATAACTTGGTTTTTGCTGACCCCAGCAGAAATTTACATTTCTGTTACCGCCTGCATCATCCGTTTTATTCTTAACAGTTGTGGCGTTCTCAAACCCAGGAACAACGTCCACTTAAATTTTCTGTTCACCATCTGTTCTAAACTTTTACACATCCACCCGTCTAATGATGATCTCTTGAAAGCGTTGTGCTTTGCGAAACAATCATTCTGTTATTCTTACGGCCTAGCCGTCATCTGCACTAACCGCAACATGACTGTCCATCAGGGTCAAGCGTGTTGATGCGATCCGGGACCCTCATTTACAACCCCCCCCCCTTGAAGGTACCCATCCGTACGACCCCCCCCCCCCCTCCCCCACCCTTCCCCATTTATCCCCCTTACCTCCCCTGCCCAAATTCCTCGCGGTAACCTGCATAAACGAATGTCAATCTCAAAAAACACCTGCTTGAGAACATCAGTGAGGTTTCGGAAGCAGAATTTCTGGGCCAATGGGTGCATCCAGCATCTGTAGCACACATACACACCTTTAATAATGTTTGAGATTCTGCAAGTTTTTTTTGAATTTTCAGGCATACTTCAGACCAGCAAATTCGATTCCCGTAGGCGACACAAATTTTTGCACGGAGAAAAAATGACGTTCTTGAACGACAAAAGATGTTTCGACTAAGAAGCTTACTTCCTACCTCTTCCACAGTTTTTCCCGCGAAAAAAACAGCTTATTCGCCGTCCAGAACGACGTCAAAAACGTGCATGAGCACGGTAGTTTGAAAATTCGTAACTAAGGCCAGGAAAAGACTGAGAGGCTGCAAAGCACAGATTCTGTAGTATAGTGCCCAGGCTATCCATAGAAAAGTTTCAGCTTTGGAGCAATAAGCTCGAAAAAATTTAGATGCGACTCTCGCAAATTTAAATGCGATCCTAAAAAGCAAAAACAGGGGTTTTTGAGCTCAAAATTTTGTAACTTACCAGAGAAGTTATAAAACAGCCTGCAATTTTTATGAGGGAAAGTAGGAGGATGGCCTCATATTACAGCAGAATTGCAGCCAACAAGCTTCAATAGCTCCGAAGAAATTTAGATGCGACCCAGATACGACCCCCCTTTCCTGATTTTTTGCTACCATACATAAAATCATAAGAAAATCCACAGTTGACAGAATGACAACAAATTTTGCACTGACATAGCAGAGCATCTCCATAGTACAGATAAATCATATGGGCGCGTGAAAAACATTACAAAAAGATTTAGAAGATCATGATGGTCACAGCTGGTAAAGATATTCGCTTTTGTCGAGTGTGTGAGACTTCAGGAAGGCTTCAGAGGCAAGATTTCTAGGGAAATCGGTACATTTAGCATTGTTATGGAATCATACATCCTTCCAAGAGCTTTAAGCTCTTGTAAATGTTTTTTTTTGAGAATTTCTACAGATTTTTTCTTTTTTATTCTGATTTCCACTTTTTCATAAATTTATTTTGAACAACAAAACTAACTATCTGCTTTTTGATTCCCTTTTAGGCTTAGAGTATTTTAGCCTAAGTACCTCTTCTTACGACCCTTCCCCCCCCCCCCCCCTCCACCTTAGATACCCTCTTTACGACCCCCCCCCCCCCCCCGTTGCGACAGTCGCATCACAAGCTTGACCCTGCTGTCCATTAGTGCTTCACCTTCACTATCGGTTCTGCTGATTGAGAGAAGGGACACTGGCTTTCTTCCCATCTCAACCGAAAGGTGCGAAGGATGATAGGTTTCATAAACTCCAGTAGACAAAGCTCAAGCGCTTCGGTTGTGCTTTGTTTAACATTGATACATAATACATATATTATACATTAGATGCGAGGTCCATCAGATACTAATGACCGGAGCGATAGGAGCTTCTTTTCATGAGTAGCAAGCCTGAGACTAAGTGGTATGATAGGATTAATGATGATAATTTGCAAATCAGGCTTAGAGTGCGCAGTGTGTCCAGCACCGCACAATCTTCAAAAAGCTTGCATGTTAGTCCAGCTGCGTGCTAGAACGCTGGGGAAATGATTGGTGTAACAGGTACGTTTGAAGCTTGAATCATCTTTTCCTTGAATCCTGTCGCTTACAAGACCTTTTCAAAAAATTCCGCCTCCGCGCAAAGGGTCTTAGAAAGCCAGCCCTTATTTTGTCCCCTGGGCAGGTAGTAATCTCCCACACCACAGCAAGTTTCCGCCCTCACCGCGTCTTTACTTCAAATGAGGATGAGCGAAAACTCCAACCTCACATTTGATCCCTCAACAGTTTTTCTTTTCACAAAAAGCCCTTTTCAAAAAGGTCAAGGTGACCTTGGCGATGCCTACATATTGGTTCGGATTATTTGAAAATTTCTATGCAAAAATATAAAAGAGGACAGGAGTTGCTGGCAACCTCGCGAAGTATCTGCCAGCATCTTATCAATCATGTGGGATCGTGCAGGTCAGAAAAGAGAAGCGCTATCCGAGTAAGCTCTCTTCCTACATTATTTTTTTCAATGCAAACTGTGTTTTGCAATGCTGTTACGCCATGGCGCAATACATAGCAGCTCTCTTCGGTCAGCAAAGCAGAAGTATCTGTGATGTTGCTAATAAGAATGGTTAGACTATTCCAACGCCACATGATCATGACTGACAGCGCGAAACATAGAAAGTACAGGCTGCGTCAAAAGTCTGGGAGTCTAGTACTTTTTCATACAAAATGAGAAGGGAAGTACCTAAGGACGAAAAAATTGGCGCACACATTATTCAAACCATTACAAATATACAGGGCTTTACATCCTGAGTGTCACAGCCGCCCCGCTCGGCCGCCACGCTTAGGTCCGCGTAGCGTTCGTGGCGCATCGTCCGGGCATTTTGCCAGGCCTCAATCAATGCCGCCGACGCATGCACCAGGCTGCGCAACGACTGAAGCTTGGCAAAATGCCCGGACGATGCGCCGCAAACGCCGCGCGCTGCCTAAGCGAGGCGGCCGCGTTGGAGGAGCCGCGCAAGCGGAGGCTGTGACTCTTATGTTGAAAAGTCCTGTAGCTCACTTCTTGGATTTCAAAATTGCCTCTTCTGGCTTCCACGCGGCCTTACAAGATCTTGGCAAGGCCACCTGTCATGGCACACAAGTAGTCGTAATGAAATTCGCCCCACACTTTCAAAATAACTGCTTCTTTTACCTTGGCAATTGTGCAGCATAGCAGAGCAAGCTTTTGTCTACAACGCACTTTCAAAAGAATTTTTTGCATTGCTTAGGAATAAAAATATTGGATTTTTAATTAGAAGCATGTGTATGTCGCATATCGGAAATTTGGAAAGTTGCATGAAGGAAAGCGGAAAACTACCATTTAAAATACAAAAAGTGTTTCCTTGACGAAACTTATTTAGAAGACGTATGCAAAAAAATATAGCCTTGGTCTCCGTGCATGTAGCGCTTCTGCTAGCTTTTAAAACGGATGGCCACTAGCACATAGGTAACATTCGCAAACTTCAATTTCCGTTTATGCAGGGACAGCTCTTAGCAGAAGCAAAACTAACAAGGAAACGATACTTGGTGTCCGTGGCCTTTTGAGATGAAACGTATACCATCACATTCGCTTTGGGACGCTGATTCCGAATGTGACTTCCGTTTCTGCTAATCGTTTCTCTAGAAGAAGTTATGAAGAATTTTCACGTCAATGATCGCCTAAAAGAAATACGGTCGCGGATGCCTAACTTTCAAAAGAAGCTTGATTGAGGCAATGCAAAACTTAAAAACATGAAGGGACTCGAGACTAAACCTGCATTAACTTGCGAGGCTATCGCACTAGCCACTACACCACATCTCAGCGGCGGTTTTGATATTTCGACTGCATCTTCTTTGGCGCGAAAATCCTCCATAACTTTTCTCCGAGAAACGATTAGCAAAAACGGAAGTCAGATTCGGAATCAGCGCTTCAAAACGGGTGTAATGGTATGCATCTCATCTCAAAAGGCCACGGACACCAAGTATCGTTCCCTTGTAAGATTCAATAGCCAAAGCCTCTTCTATATTGTGCGCATTGAAGTGTTGTAAAATATTGACAGCATCTCTAGCTATAGCAAAAACTGTAGTACTAAAAATTCTGGTTACGCTCGGCAAAAGTACTAGTTCGGTAAATTTCAATCTTACAAAAACATATGGACCATTTCCAACTAGGTAAAGTGTTTCTTGTAGAGGATGACAGCAGGATCACTGCAAAATTAGGCTCCCAGACTTTTGACGCAGTTCGATTATGTTGCGGTAAATATCGGGCATTTGATAAGTCGACAAGGTAAAACCAGATAAGCCGGTTTAGCACCTACTAAATTCAGTTTTCTCTTCCTTCGCAGACTTCTTCTCTGACCACTTTCCCAAGCCTAATTAACAGTGGTACCCAGGATTTTTCGGAGGGGGAGGGGCGACAAAAAATTTTTCCGGATGAACGTGCGTGGCGCCACGTAGCCACGCACGTTAGCCACGTACTCCGAAAAAATTTTTTGAGATGCTTTCCAAAATTTCTGCAGCCCGCTGACCCCAAAATTTCAGAAAAGGGAAACAGTGGCAGCCGCCACGCCCCCGAAAAAATAACAAGTCGCTTGCACATTTTTACAACACATTTTTATAACACTTAAGTAACTTTAAAAATTTTCGCAACCCGTTCTCGGGGGTGGGGGGGGAGGGGCTCGGTACACCACTGTTAATTAACGATTGAAGGTTCTTTGAGCCCTTTCTAACGCCCAGCTGTAAGAAAATTATTAGACAAAAAGTTAGCGAACGCAGCACAAAGTCCAAGAGCGATGCGATCGCGCGGGATCCGAGCAGCTTGAGTCGGCTCACTCCAAGTAGGACAGAGGGTTGTCAATAAATCCAGGGTAACAGCTTTGAAAGCAGCAAACGCAGCCGATCTGTCGAAGCGCCAAGATTGAAACAATTTTAGGCTTATTCAAGCAAATTTCGTACATACTTCAAATAATCAGAAAAATCACTATATCAAAAAATGACAGATTAACCAAACCTTATAACTATCCTAGAGCAATTTTATTTCTTTGCGAGTGAAATGCGTTAAATAGTGTAGATTTGATAAATCAAAGCGATAGCTTTGGAAAGGCGGACTTACAATTGAGAGTTTTGTAGAATTTGAATATGGTAAGTGCAAATGGATCAGGCAGGTCTCTCAACATTGTCTTGAAAAACCAGCACCACTCCAGATAGTTGACGACTCTTCTGAAAAAAGAAACACCATTCAAAAAAGCACCGATTGCAAATCTACTACCTTTTCTCATACTGTGGTAACAACTTATCCAAACGTCGAAGAAAATCCACTCCGTAAACTACAACCTCTGCGTTTGCATCAAACGATATTCTACTGCCGTTCTAAACAAATCTTTTTGTAAGAAGTTTTGTGCATCAATCTAAAAAGGCCAATTCTTATGGCATTATGATGCTGAGGAGGCGCTTCGTAATACGAATGAGAGCAGCCTCTTACTTTGTTTTACAGTGATTGAGTAGATAACACTTGACTTTATTTCAAAAGACGGTTCAGCTAGTGACTCTTATAGAGGAGCGAAAAATTATTAGGTTGTTGCAAAAATAATGTCCGTTTTGCAAAATTTCACTTTGAAAAGCTATAACTTCGTTCAGTCTTCATATTTTTGAATGCAGTCAAGACCATCAGATGCAGTAAACCTTTCGTAATCTAAGGCGCACCTGCATATACTGATATCGCAAACGGGAAGAAAACCATGCGTTAGAAAACCAAAAGTTTTGCTTTTGAAAACCTCGTTTTTGAAAGATTACAAATTCCTTCAAGTTTTGTTGTTATGGCTGCTAATCAGCTTATTTTGTAGATGCAATTCAGTAGTATACGCTTGTATAAAAAGAACTTTAGCGAAGAAGTTCTGCGAAATAAAAAAGATAGAAACCCAAAATTGTTCACTTTTTTAAGCCTATTTGTGATAGACTTGGAAGCCCCAAACTATGAAAACTTGGAATTCTTATGCACTGAATAGCTAAGTTTTTCTGCATAAACTGTAGATAAGATGTCCTGACTTTAAGCCTCCAGAAATGAGCGAAGTTTCAGCGATTGCCCTAATCAGGAAAAATTTCGAACCCATAGAGTTCCAGGCAGCGAGTATCTTTTTTGAAGCTCGATTTGTCAGTTCAGATATATCCGAAAAACCTATTCAAACATGCAATAAGTAAACAATATTTATCATATACAGCAGCTATGTTTTCAGAAGAACTTGTTTATTTGCGCCTGAATTGTGGCCAAGAAAGTTGGAGCAATGCAATTTCGATTTTGACTGCGGCTGTGCGAAATGCTGGTGAAAATCTTACAGATGAGATAAAAGCTTAATTTCACCACCGTTAAAAAGTACATGAAGAAAGCTTTCCAACGATGTGCAGAATCTGTATCGAAAAAGCAACTATAAAGGAGAAAAGTCGTTTGGAATATACGCTTAGAAAAACGGACATTATTTTTGCAACAACCTAATATTATGGCATTTAGAAAATTCCTAGGGAAACTGGAATGACATTCTAGATGAAAACTAGGACTAGAGAAGATTGGGACTATTCCGTTCAGAAGTTCTGGAGACTAGTTTCTGGAGAGGCTTGTTTTTGTGCTCTAGAAAATGAAAGACATCTTGGCTAGGATTATAAACGAGGAAAACAGAAGTTATGAACGAGAATGTACTATGATTCTCGAAATTTTTGTGGAAAAAAATCAAGTTTTTGATTAATACCGAAGTCAGTAGAAGTATTGGGTTGTTTCAAAAGTTCTACCCGTTTTCGAACTTTGACTTTGATTCACCGTAACTCTTCTTGCAAGTGAAGTTCACTTTGTCGAAGTGGCGATCCGGACGGTGATCTATACCAATGGATAGAGCTTAGAACGCTGATCTCAGATATACCTTCAAAATCTGCGATGCCTTGTTCTGAAAAAAGTTATGAGCTTTTGTAAAGCCAAATTTTCCTGCATTGTGAGTCGCAAAACCATGATAATCGCTACACAAAAGTGTACAAGCTTAAGCAAACCACCTAGTAAGCATTGTAGGTCTTATTCGAATCATCCGAACGTTTTCGAGTGTTTTCCGACCATGTTGTTTATTCACAGCCCGTCATTTCCTTCCTATATCACACTTCCATTATATAAACAAAAAAGCCCATAATCTCCATTTGGAAGAATGCGTCCCAGATATTGAAGATATGTTGAACATCGTTTTACGTTATATCCACTGTAGCTTCCGAAAAGTTTCCGACGCGACGCGTTTCTCTAGATGGAAGTTATGGGGCTTTTTTGCATACATAATGGAAGTGTGATCTAGGAATGAAATGGCAACCTGTGGATGAACAACATGGTCGAAAAACACTCCAAAACGTTCAGATGAACTCGAATTAGACCTACAACGCTCACTAAATAGTTTGCTTAAGCTTGCGCACTTTTGTGTAGCGATTATCATGATTTTGCGACTTAAAATGCACGAAAATTTGGCTTTAGAAAAGCTCATAACTTAGTTCAGAACAACGCATCGCAGATATTGAAGGTATATCTGAGATCAGCGTTTTAAGCTCTATCCATTGGTGTAGATCTCTTTCCGATCGCCACTTCGAATACGTGAACTTCCCTTGTTAGAAACAATCTTTGCAATTGCTATGAACTGTATTACAATCTGCAAATCTTTTGCTATTCTGCGCACTCTTCAAGATTATTGCAGTAACAGTGGAGAAGATTTTATAGGCGAAAACCGACGAACATCTCCTTGTAGAAACCTTCATTTTGCAAAAGCATAACTTGATTTGGAAAGTAGCTGAGTTGCACAAGCACTGCTCACAGTGTAGCCCATAGTCGACTGAGCAGTACTGCTAACTTTGAATTTCATCAAACTCTTTCATAAAAATTTTTTGCTGAAAAATCCGAAAGGACCCACTTATTTTGCTCTTTCTGAGGCGGCAAAAAATGCAGTTTTCGACATTTTTCATTTTGTTCGCCGTTGAGAAACCAGGAAATCTTTTCGTTCTTGTAGTAGTAGTTGTTCTAGCTCTAATCTTACTATATAGAGTACAAGTTTTGCGGTTGCAATAAGTTTATGGTTTTTATGCGGCTTGAAGGGACCATAAAAGCAGGTTATGTTTGAGCTAAAAATTTGTTGGTATAAAGTTTTTCTGAAATCATATCTCGATGAGCGTTTTGTAGCACAAGTCTCCAGCAAATATTATCTATGTTTTAAAAGAGATTTTTTCTTTTGGCTGTAGATTTCACGGCGATAGAGCAAAGACGAAAATTTTCACATGTGTTTTGCTGTTTTTTCAAAGTACGCAACCACACAGCGAACAAAGATCTATGAAAACGAGAATATGCCTGAAAGACTAGAAGAAAAGAGCTTTTGAATGGTAACCATTGTTTATGAAAAATGGTTCTTCCTCCAAAATCGGCAGTTCAAAAAAAGGTATCGAAAACGGATAGAACTTTTGAAACAACCCAATAAAAGGCATTACTCTTGCGATTCAAAGAAAAGCTTCAGTCTTAATATTTTAACTGTGAACCTCACGCAGTTTTCTTATCTTCCACCCTACTATCCACCACTATAGGCATATTATTATAGAAGCCAGCTTTTCCAGCTTTTTGTATGATCTCTTATTGAATCCTATCGAGTGACCGTTCCATTGAAGCAATTTCTTTAAAGGCAGTGTCCAGGTCTGGACATATGGGGATCTTACATGGATGGTAATTTTGAAGCCCTAACTAAGCTCCTGCCCAACCGGCAGCTCAGGTAGTGAGATATTCCTCTCGAAACTGGACCCCAGCATCGTATTTCGCATGGAATTCAGAGCAACCCGTCACCTCGCGTGGGTCCTTGCGCGAAACTGATGTGTTGCGCCATGAATCCATGCGAAATGAGTCCTGGGCTCCAGTTTGGAGGCGATCTCGGCCGTTAGCGGGTCACCTGCGCTGCCACTTGGAGAGTGCCTTAGCTAGGGTCCCAAATTACTTTCCAAGTAAAATCCGCATAGGTCCAGTTTGTCTGGACGCTGCCTTTAATACGTTGAAGACGAGCAAATTTTTAAGGGTATGTCCCTGTGGACTAGACGTTTCTGTACGGCTAGGCCCGGCTGTATGTATGTATGCATCGGAACGTGGCGGACCGAGGGATGGGGGGGGGCCAAATGGGTCGCGAAATTTTTGAAATTTACTTGCATGGGTTATAACAATGTGCAAGGAACTTGTTTATTCTTGTAAATAGAATTTTTAAAATTTATTTAAAACTCAAATTAGCCTTGTAAAAAGATTTTTTGGGGGATAGCTGTCGACATGCCCCCTTTTTCGAGTTATGGACCGCAAAAATTTTGAGAAGCACCCCAAAAAATTTTTCGGAGTGTGCGGCTAACGCCACGCACCTTCATTCAAAAAAATCTTTTGCCACCCCGCTCCCGGTCCGAAATCCCGGGACCGCCACTGGTATGCATGAAATATAAAATGTGCGAACTCCCCCCCCCCCCCTTGTGGCAAGATCCGCCCACTCAACCAAAAATGTCGTAAAGTGCCGGAATTTCAAGAAGTCATGCGAAATCCGCCATTTTTGGAAAGTGGGGCAGAGCTATCCACTGAGGGGCGGAGCTTGCCTGACCAGGGCGGGGCCTGGTTAAAAGTTGTTCATGGCCTTCTCTTCGAGGCCTTCCGTACATGTAAGGCCTCTCCTATGCTGTTGCCAAAAAAGGATAGTTGTGAAGGGCAGAGAAGTAGGCGGGGTTTGCCAAAAGGGCGGGGCTATCATCTATATATATATATATATATATATTAGGTTGTCCCGAAAGTTCGTTCGCACCATTTTCAAAAAATCATAACTTCTTTACTTCATAACCTTTTTGAGCAATTTAAATTTTATTAGAAAGCGTAAAGCATGTAGTTTCCAATAGTCTGCTGGTGACTTTCCAATGTGCTCAGATTGCAGAGATAAAAATGAAAGAACGAAAACATCCGAAATTCGGAATTTTTGAGCAAAAATTCTAAAAATCTATAAACTGCGCGATAAAATCCAGAAAAGCCATTATCCTAATTTTTCTTATATTTGATTACTAACTGAGTTAAGTTTGGGTTCATCGAGCTCTTCTTTCAAAAGTTATGATTTTTTGAAATAAAATGCCGAAAAATCAATTTCTTAGGAATTCTTAGAAAATTTATTTTTCGGCATTTTATTTCAAAAAATCATAACTTTTGAAAGAAGAGCTGAATCAGCCCAAACTTAACTCAGTTAGTAATCAAATATAAGAAAACTTAGGATGATGGTTGTCTTAGATTTTATCGCACAGTTTCTGAATTTCTAGAATTTTTGCTCAAAAATTCCGAATTTCGGATGTTCTCGTTCTTTCATTTT